TGTATGTATATATGTATGTATGTATGTATGTATGTATAATCAGAATCTGGTTTTGAATGTAATTGTGAATTGAGAATCTGATTTAGAGTAAAAAATATAATAATTCTGATCATAGTGAAATCACTTCAGCTGTCCACTCTCTTTCCACTTTTGTACCCCTTGAGACTGAATAAGAATTAACATTTATCTCTAAATCAAGAAATCCTAAATGAATCATTTATGGCCCTAGAGCAACACCGTACAGTCACACAGTGTCTGGACAGCAGGAGCCTGTGTAAAGTTGAAAATCACATCTCAATGCTGCCTTTTTTCACCCAGCCCCTTGGGCAGATACTACAGTGAGTGCTTTGTGTCTTGAGGAGAGGCTATTAATAGTGCCATTCGAAGATTCTCTATCTCTTATACCCCCCACCCCCCCGCTCTTTTCCATTAAGTTCTTTCCTCACGTGACTCTGCTGACTGTTAGGGGGGCAGATAAATCCCTTCTCAGTCTGTCCGGCCAGCACACACAGGAGTCATATTCCACATTTATTTATCTTTCCATTTTCCCCTTCATTGTTCCCTACTTTCACCTTCCCACGCTTAATAAACGGAAGCTACAGTCGCCAAGTTGTGTTTTCTCCCAGAAGGTGCTGGGCTTTTCTTCAGACAGTCAGTCAGGCAGTCATTTTGACCGGAGGCTATTTGTCACTGATCCCCTCACCCTCTCCCACGTCCATTAACAAGAATCCGGAGGCAGGAGGCGAGGCAGTGCTCAAGGATGCAGCCTCCCTGAAAAGACAGTTGCTCGCAGCAGGAGAGACAAGAAGATGAATGAACGAGCAAGATATAGTCAAAGTCAGTGATAGAAATGTTTCCTGCTGTTTGTGTTGTTTCTTCCTTCCTGACAGCTCATGTTGAGTAAGAAAACGCAATGCAAATCTTGAGCAATGTCGTTACAGGAGCCTGTATGTCAAAAGGTGATGTTCGTTGTCCCGCTCAGCTGTGAAAAAGATGATAATATTCCTGTTCACTTGCACTAAATGTTTTACGCCTGTCGCTGACACACGTATGTAAATTCTCCAGAGACTGTTCTCCTAACAGCAAGAAAATCTGACATTCCCATCTTTTCTGTGACCTACTTAAACATTTTTAAATGCACAGAGCAGAGGACCGTGCTTTCATCTTCAGCTAGGCCTGGCATATGGTCATGTCATCATGAGGAAGTGTGTCGAGGCAGAGAGGATGTGAACGCTGCTGTGCTGAAGTCTCTGTCAAGCTGTCTCAACCAGCTGATGTATCAACTTTTTAGTTTGTGTGTTGTGTTTAGATGCATCTCAACCTTGTCAAAACAGCCTTAGCATACAACTTTTCTGTAGTGACATAATGGCTTAATGGGCTGGTTATGTGTTATCTCCTGAATGAGGAATATCATCCTGTCAACAGACAGGACCACTACAGAATATCAATACTGTGTTTGTGGAACTAATGGTCACTCTTTTTAAAACCCTTTATTAAACATAATCCCTAAATACTCACTTCCTAATCACAGATAAAAACTACATTTGAATAAAAATATATAAGCTATGAAATTAAACTAGCTGACTGTATAATTTAGCAGCAAAAACAATATCTTGAAAAAAATATTTGGTGCACATTATACAATTTAATCATGTTTATTCTGTTAACTATTTGTATTCTTACAAAATACATTCATGAAAATAAGATAGAAATTGTGAGAAAAATAAAAGCTTCTAATAATCTTTCTGTGTGCAAAACTTTGATAATGTGAAACGCTTCAAACAGAGCGGCACAAAGCTCTTATGCATATCCAGGGTGCAGAATGGTGCACTTGAAGTAGGGATGTAACGGTATGAAAATTTCCTATCACGATTATAGTGACCAAAATAATCACGGTTATCAGTATTATCACGGTATTGTTAAAATGTGCTGGAGATGTTCAAAAAGTACTGACACATAAATCTTCACCAAGTTATATATTTAAAAATCAACAAACAACAAATAAAATGTCTTTTTTGTTTGCATAATCACTAAAACAATAACATTACCAATGATGTTCGGATTTTAAATGACAACTTGACTGACAACAGTTCAATAGCATGTTGAAATATCTAATGTAAATGTTCAAATAAAGCTTTGAAAAAGTTTCATAAAAAGGTAAACCTCACATTTCAGCCTTTAAATAAAGAAAAGATGTAATCAAATAATCGCGATTAGACGGTTATTTAATTATCGCGACAGGCCTACTAATGGGATCAGTATAGCACAAAAAAACTTTACGAAATCAATCCTGTGGTTGGTGGAAAACGTTATGTCCATTTTTTAAATTGGTAGGACCAAATTATCTGCACCCGCTGTTGAATAGGCCACTCCAGACATAGGTTTTTGTTAATGGGTGAAGATCCTCTTTAATGCCTCATGCCAGAGTCCATTATCTCTGAAGCATATTTTGATGAACTGATGATGTCTTGAACTCCTCTGGGACCCATTAATTTTCAGTTGATTCTTATGAAATTATTTTTTAATTAAGTGAAACCAGATTTAGTTTTAGATTTTTTTTTTTAATCAAAGAGAAACTTAAAAATAAAGTTTTATAAAAGTTTTTCATTTACTTTTTAAATTGTTGTTTTACATAATTTACTGTTTCAATTTTTCATTTGCTTCTCTGTCTACGTTTCTTCCAAGTTTTTTTTTTTTGTCTGAATGATTCACATATAGTACATAACATTATGAACAATTTGTATCCTTCAAATGAAATGTAGTGTCTACTCTGAGTTCTCTTAGTTTAGTTGGTTTTGTATGTTTTAAAAACATTTGATTCAAGTTGCTTCAGTCTGTTTACATTGCAAAATTTTCAATTTCTTGCTTCAGCTTAACGCATCACCTCACAGCGCTCAGCCACTGTTTGACTCGACCCGGCATGTGTTGTCGTTTCTTTATTTTGGCCATCATCCTTCTCCACGCTGTAATGAGGTTGTCACAGAGTAAATTCCTGTCCTCCACGCAGCAGATAGATTCTGGCCCAGAGCAGCTGTTTCTGCTCAGCATGGAGAGGATTGCACACACTGCGAAAATGACTTCACTTATGGTCTGTTTGGCCTGCGCAGAATAAAAGATTTATCCCCAGATGTACCTCCAAACCTGGACGTGTACCTGTGGGGTGAGACTGACTGATGACAAAATCTGTGTGTAAAAACAGTGGTGGCATTCTTTCCTGTCCAACAGTTGTTGTGGTTATTTAGTTTTTTGTCACCGAAAACATATTGTTGTAGCAAATTGTTTGTTGATCTCTCCTTTAGTAATGGCTATGGCTAAAGTCATACAGGTATGCAATGACATGAAGATGAATAAATGTTAATAGAATTGCCATTTTTGAGTGAACAATCATTTTAATTAGACGGTAACAAAAGCATAGGGTCATAAGGGTAAAAACTTGGTAGAAAATCTAATCTAAAGCTAATAAATGTAAAGTGTAAAACTAAATTACTACCAACTGTTTAAAGAAATCAATAACATCTTCTACATTAATGTTGAATATGTACTCCTTAAACTGTCAAATCCACATGGTCAGTCCAGCTAGACAAATGTTTTAGCTGGCTGAGCTCCAGCTTATTTATTATCATGCTTATACACCTACACAAATCCTTGATCATCTAATGTATATTTGTGTTTTGAGAGATTGACTGAACCATTTCCAGAGAGAGGTTTCCAGCTCTAACAGGATGGCTATTGAGTTTGGATTTTCAAATGTGCTTTTTACAAGCGCCAGCCGCACGCATTAATTGCTTACTGTAGAGTTGGCCTCTGCTGCCATGGCAACTGCTGTAGGCTCTATAGCCACACACAGCAATGGCCCAGCTGCTCCTGTGGTGATGACACTGTCCCGTCTGTCTGCCCCATGTCACCATGGCGAGTCCATGCGTGCATCTCACTCATTACTGATAGTGTCGCTGTTAGCCAGAAGCGGGAACTGCCATCTTGGATATACTCATAAATCCCAACAGTTTGCATCCTACAGTTTTAAAGTCCACCATACATGGGCAACAAAGACAAAAAGATGCATGAGTGGATATGACTCACTTTGTTTTCTCTTCCTGCAGGCTAGCCAGCTTGGAGTGTACAGGGCCTTTGTGGATAATTACGAACTCGCCGTGGAGACCGCAGAGAAGGGCTGTCAAGCAAACACACAGTTCGCAGAGATCTCTGAGGTAATGCCTTATGGAGTGCTCAAGGTCTTGTTATTCTAATACGGGAACAGATACAGGTGCATCTCAATAAATTAGAATGTCGTGGAAAAGTTCATTTATTTCAGTAATTCAACTCAAATTGTGAAACTCGTGTATTAAATAAATTCAATGAACACAGACTGAAGTAGTTTAAGTCTTTGGTTCTTTTAATTGTGATGATTTTGGCTCACATTTCCAAAATCCCCAGCTTAGTTATTACCAAAGCAACCTAAGCTTCTGATTGGTTAGAAGGAATAGAATCCTGTAACATATTTGATACCAATACCAGTGAAATGTAATGATTCTTGAGACCAATTTTGATAACAGAGCAAAAAAACCAAAATTTGATATGGACAAAGTACCAGTATTTTTTATCATCCCTAATTCAGGCTTATTGTGTTGGTTTAAAGTTAGAAAACAAGAAAGTGGAATTGTAGCCTCAACAACTTCCAATCAGATTTACTGTGTCCTTGATGCATCCTGCCATCAAAGAGCAAGTAATTTCTAGCTTTTATGCGGGGCTTTACCTGCCGAACTCTTCCATGGGGTCACTCAGTGTGACTGATTACCCAGCGAGACCTGGATAGCAGATCTAAAAGTGGCGCTCAATGCTCTTCAGAGTTCAGCGGGAGATTTTATGCCTTGCTAAATGTTATAAAGAGAGGGTGTCTGGAATAAAATCTACATGATGATGCTCACCTCGTCCCACTTTATTCCCCCTACCAGCCGTTGTCATGCCAACTATTACTTCCCTTTACATTTTGGATATTGCTTCCTTCTAGCACGACCAAAAGCAAACATTAGGATAATTGTTTGTTCGCACTGGCGGGGGTGGACAATTTCTAGTGGGTTTTAGAGCGTATTGCCAACAGTGTAAACCTTGCAATAGGAAACATTTACTTAGTGCGTATGTAGATAAAATGTGACAGGCTAATTTATTAATTTAGTATCTCCCGAAAGGGGTTATTTCAATATACAGAGAATAGAGGAGAGAGAAGTTGAATATACACCATAAAAGAATAAGTACAGTCAATTATTTAACGGCAAGCTTTGTTTGTTTTTACATGTAATATTTGTACTATAGTGTGCTATTTACAAGTGTGATAAGCTGTAAGGTTGACAAAACTGCTGGCTAGTGATGCCAAATTAGCCATTACTTTATTCATGACTGTGTAACAAGCTTCATGTGAACATAACCATCTACATAACAAGCTGTCATTTGTTAGGAGAATATCTGTTGTAATATGGTGAAAATAGTTGTTCTGCAATAGTAATCTGATGTTCTTTATGAGATTACAGTTTCCAGCCCTGCATGATGGTGTGCACTTCACAGGTTTATTGATCCTGAGTTTGTCTCTGATATCTCTGCAGAGTCTCAAGGTCAGGAGCACCAAGGAGTGCAAGGACCTGACAGCCAAATACTCACTGGAAAGTAAGAAACAATAGGATTGCATTTATTGTTTTCACATGGTATTGCATTATGTGTTCATTATATTATCTGTAGTATTTTCATTGAGCTTAAGTGTTGCACATTTTGCTCTCAGCATGTAATGTCATTCCTTCTTTTAAATTCAGTTGCATAAAACCCATTGAGTGGGTGGATTAGATAAGGTTTCAAACATCGGCATTTGAGCCTGCAGTATGAAAGTGGCTCTTGTGAATAATCGCCCACTGTGTGTGTGTTCTCTTCTGTCTTGTCTTTGCCAGCTCTGCTCTATAAACCAGTGGACAGAGTGACCCGGAGCACACTTGTTTTACATGTGAGTCAACATTAGTTTATCATAATATTTTCTTGTTTGCCTTGGGAAGTTTACTTTCCATAGTGTTCAGCCGCATGTATTTATGCGTACTTAGTCCAAAGGGCACTGCAAACAACACAGGGAACAAATGTACATTGATATATCACTTCATAGGAAATGATGGAGCCGCCATATTGGGCTTTGCAGGTTCTCCCATTCATAGCAGTGCTAGTTCACTGACTTGGTGTATACTGTATATGGTCTTTGGTTTTGTATTGGTTTTGTACTAGTTTTTAACTTCTTATTCAAAAATGGCTTTGAATAAATCTGTTTTTGGTTGAATGTTTGTGTTTATTTTATACAGGATCTTCTGAAACACACACCTTCCAGTCACCCAGATTACCCCCTCCTGCAGGACGCCCTCCGCATCTCACAGAACTTCCTGTCCAGCATTAACGAAGAGAGCACGCCTCGCCGCCAGTCCATGACAGTGAAGAAGGGAGAGGTGAGTGCAGAAACCCCTCCTTCATTCCATCTTACCCCTCTCTCATAAGTCCTCCATCTTGTTAATGAAGTAGTGTTTGTCAAAAACATATTTTTAAAGGGCTCAGAAATGTCAAAATTCCAGGTTGCACATAGTGCAGGTGCCCTGAAGCCATCCAGCCAATGAGCTCCCATCAGGATATACAGCCAGTCTTTCTATCCATCTCAGAGCCAGCCCACCCTCTGCTCTCCGCACAAACTATCCTTGGGCGACTCTGCCTTGTCTCTATTTCACACTAACATATACTCTCCATCTCCACAGAGGGTTTATGCTATAAATAAAACATCCTCTATTTGTTACTGAACTCTTGCTGCATTTGAGTTGTTTGTTCTGAGATCTAGTGGGATTTATTTTTAATCATCTCTTCAGTATCTGCTTACTAATGCTCTTGAGTCATGATGATGTCATTAGTTAAAGGCGGTAAGAAAGCACATACCCTTGCTGACCCCGGCCAAGAAGATCACTCTTCAAGAGATCTTGGGAAGATACATTTGGTTTTTCGACACAGAGACTCTGTGCCGCCCCCTTCATTCCAGCAATGTGGCCTCAGGAGAGTGGCAGATGAATTGTTGCTGTGTGATTGATGGCAAGCAGCACTTGCGTGTAATTTGCCTTAATGAGCCACCCCGCTCTGACTCACAACTCATTGATTATTCATAAAAGTCCATCTTGTGTGGAGCAGGCTCCGCCTACTTCGAGTAAACGCTGAGGAGGAGTTTGCTACCACTCTCTACACCCCTCCCGCCTTACACCCTTGGGGCCAACTGATCAAATATTGATAGTGTGTGCATGAAAGAAACTCATGGAAATCAATGTTGTTGTGGAGCTTATTGTCTTTCAGTCCAGTCTTAGAAAACACAAGCCTTAGTTTGCCTTCCTTTTGTTTTATAGTTTCTAGATGATTTAATAACCATGATTTCTTTATTAGCTAAGGCCTGCATCACTAATACTATTGCTCATACTACAAGGATTTAAAGAGACCATGATTATTAAACTTTGGCATGTAGCTCTGGCATCCGGCACTTGAATTACACGGCCATGGCAACCATATATCAGCATTCTAAAAATAGCTTAGAACACCTTAGAAACTGTGTAGCTATATCCCACTCAAAAAAAAGAGGTATTTTTTAGCGAACAAGGACACATTATATAGCCTATTGGTTATCAGCCAGTATTACTGTTTTATTTTTTATTCATCAATATCAGTCAATTGGTCAGATTTGGATATTGGATGTATATATAAGCTGGTATTGGATGTTTAATTGTACATGCTCATACCCCCCCCCCTTTCCTTTTTATATTACCATATAACGCTCACTTAATGCAAATTTTTAAAAACATTTTTAAAAATCATTCAGTAATGCTTTTAAATGTAATCTTTAGCAAATTTCAAAATTAATATCCATTTTTCGTACTGTACATTGTAATGTTGTGTTGCCTAAATTATATAACTATGTATGTATAGTTTTTTTAGCCATTTATTGGTTTCCTGCTGTAACAAAAATAATTACTGATTTATTGGTATCGGCTATAATTTTTATATCATTGTATCATTAGTACTTCTTGGGAAGTCGTGGCTTAATGGTTAGAGCTTATTGTTTCATTCATTTGTTTCATTTAGTTATTCTAGAGATGCATCTAGCTTAAGTGGAGAGGTACAGTATGGTCCTAAGCCCTAAGCTTACTTCTTTGGTTGATGCCAATGAACAATGATCTCATTATTTAAGAGTAACTTCAGAACTGATATCTGTGGGCAGCTAGAAGCATTAGCCTGATTGTTCAGGTCATGGTTGCGTTGGTTAGCTATCGGCTTCTAGTGTTACCCATGCTGGAAACTGGAGGTATGCGTGTGAGAGAGAGAAAAGAGATTCAGGGTGGCCCCAGAGGCCTGCACTAGCTGGGCCAAAGCCACTTAATTAAAATGCAAATGAACCTGCCGATTTCAGAAAGAAGCTTTCAGCATCTACTATACACTCGCACAAAGCAATGTGTGATGGGCTTTGTATGTAGCTGCTGCACACATGTGACATTGCAGAACATGTATGCACACACACTCATTCACAATGTAAATATGTATATGACGTTTCTGCACTATGCACAAAAGACACATAAACACAAACACACAGAAGCAATCCAAATATGCTAATTCCTGAAGATACACATCAAACATATGCATACACAACCAGATGACCTCGGGCTCGTCAAAGCCACCTGCTCTGTTCAAAAGACTATCACAAACGTTACGTACATCAACATACCACACACAGACTCATGTGATGAGCATTTTGCTTCTTACCTTTAGGGCACAGTCTGTTGAGAGGAAATTTAAGCACATAAAAATTTACTTTATTCTTTATGAACAATGTAACACTGTCAGGGATATGCTCATAATACTAATAAAATAAATATTCATATAAAAAATAATTTTAAGTAGTATGTTATGTTAAGAAGGCTAAAAATGTACAACCCAGAGGGGTTTCTGTCTTTACCACACAAACACAAACTGTTTGAGCCGCTCAGTGTGTTTAATTTGCACTGGTTTCAGTCTGTTTGTAGTGTGTGATTATGAGATATTGCTATTGTCATGTTTGTACTGGAGGCAAACTGTTGGAAAATGTCACCTGATGTGCTGACTGGTAAGATATTGGTATAGATTTGCAAACAGTGTACAGTACAGTACAAGTGTTTGCAGAAGAAATTTGTTTTTGGACGTGCGTGTGTGTGCGTGCGTGTGTGTGTGTGTGTGTGTGTGTGTGTGTGTGCGTGCCTGTGTCTTGCAGGGTAAAGAAGAAAAAGAGAGGGAGAGAGGCTTTACATTTCACCTATAGTGAGATTGTTCTGGAAATGCCAGTCATGTGAATGCTGATATATAGTGCTTTTTGAAAGAAACAGAGTTTAGTGTCTGCTGTTGGGTGTATGTTTTTATTGTATTGTTTGTTGAATAGAAAGTATAAGGGAGTGAACAGCTCATTAAAGGGTTAGTTCACCCAAAAATGAAAATTAGCCCATAAATTACTCACCCTCAAGTCATCCTAGGTGTATATGACTTTCTTCTTTCAGACGAATCCAGTCGGAGTTATATTAAAAATTGTCTTTGATCTTTCAAGCTGTTTAATGCCACTCAGCGGGTGTTGCATGCATCAGTCCAAAAGAAGTGAAATAAAAAGAGCCCATCCATAAAAAAAAGTGTCTCACACAGCTCCGGGGGGTGAACAAAGGCCTCCTGTAGCGAATCCATGAGTTTTTGTAATAAAAATATCAATATTCAAGACATAATAATCACTTTAATGTAGCTTGCGCCAACAGTTGTACA